ATAAAAGCTGCCATCGCCAGTCAACATCAAGGTGGGACTGATTAGCATTTTCAAATTATATTGAGCAAGTTGGGCTACAAAATGGTGAGTTGACAACCTGGAAGGAGCGGAATACCTAGCCCTGGTCCTCACAAGTTCCTACTTCACGCCTCCTCGAGTCATATGATAACAAAAGACTACCAGCTGAAACCTGCACACAGCTGGTTGGCGTAGCCTGGGCAATGTTGCCAGTCCGGCAATAGCAAAGTGAAGAGGTGCGACGCGAACACTGGCGCGGTAACCATAGTACGGTGATAGAGGAAATGCTTCACCAAACCTGAGTGTCTGCTCACCATGGAGGTGCGGCTCAAAACGGCGTCTGTTCTCCATGTTAGGAGCGGCTGATCACCGTCCTAGTGCCAGCGTGGGACTCTAAACAGAGCTGTGCACGATGGTCCCCCGGCGAGACAGGGGGTTGGGGCAGGCCCAACAAGCCGCCCTGGAAAAAAAAAACAAAGTTGCAAATACCGAAGAAAGAAATACGGATCGGAACAATCGGCACAGACCTACGCGACGAAATAAGGACTACGATTGGAAACTCGGAACATGGAACTGCAAATCGCTCGGCTTCCCGGGTTGCGATAGGTTAATCTATGACGAACTTCAACCACGCAACTTCGAAGTCGTAGCACTGCAGGAACTTTGCTGGACGGGACAAAAGGTATGGAAAAGCGGGCATCGAGCGGCTACTTTCTACCAGAGCTGTGGCACCACCAACGAGCTGGGAACCGGCTTTGTAGTGCTGGGTAAGATGCGCCAACGCGTGATTGGTTGGCAGCCGATCAACGCGAGGATGTGCAAGTTGAGGATTAAGGGCCGTTTCTTCAACTACAGCATCATCAACGTGCACTGCCCACACGAAGGGAGACCCGACGACGAGAAAGAAGCGTTCTATGCACAGCTGGAGCAGGTGTACGACGGCTGTTCGCAACGGGACGTCAAAATCGTCATCGGCGACATGAACGCTCAGGTAGGACGGGAGGCAATGTATAGACCGGCAATCGGGCCAAACAGCCTGCATGCCGTATCGAACGACAACGGCCAACGATGCGTGAACTTTGCAGCCTCCCGGGGTATGGTAGTTCGAAGTACCTTTTTCCCCCGCAAGGATATCCACAAAGCCACCTGGAGATCACCTGACCAACACACAGAAAACCAAATCGATCACGTTCTAATCGACGGGAAATTCTTCTCCGACATTATCAACGTCCGCACGTACCGCAGTGCGAACATAGATTCGGACCACTACCTAGTTGCAGTATGCATGCGCTCAAAACTCTCGACGGTGCATAACACACGTCGAAGTCGAACGCCACGACCCAACATTGAGCAACTACGGGACACCGGAGTTGCCCAGGACTACGCGCAGCAGCTGGAAGTTGCACTACCCACGGAAGAGCAGCTTGGCGCAGCTTCTCTTGAAGATGGCTGGAGGGACATCCGTTCAGCCATAGGTAGTACTGCTGTAGCGGCACTAGGTACTGCAATCCCGGACCGAAGAAATGACTGGTTTGACGGCGAATGCAAACTGTTAGTAGAGGAGAAGAATGCAGCACGGGCGAGAATGCTGCAACACCGCACGAGATTGAATGTGGAGCGATACAGACAAGCGCGGAACAGACAAAACTCGGTTTTCCGAAGGAAGAAGCGTCAGCAGGAAGATCGAGATCGCGAGGCGATGGAAAATCTGTACCGCGTAAACGACACACGGAAGTTCTACGAGAAGCTAAATAGTTCGCGCAAAGGCTACGTGCCGCAAGCCGATATGTGCAAGGACTTGGACGGTAACCTTCTCACGAACGAGTGTGAGGTGATTGAGAGGTGGAAGCAGTACTATGACGAGCACCTCAACGGTGAAGCAGCAGAAAACGAAGGTGGCACGGCAACAGACCTTGGAGCACGCGCAGAAGACGACAGGCTACCGGCCCCTGATCTTCAAGAAGTTTAGGAGGAGATCGGTCGGCTGAAGAACAACAAAGCAACTGGTGTAGATCAACTACCAAGTGAGCTATTGAAATACGGTGGTGAAGCACTGGCTAGAGCGCTGCACTGGGTAATTGCCAAGATTTGGGAGGAGGAGATATTACCGGAGGAGTGGATGGAAGGTGTCGTATGTCCAATCTACAAAAAGGGCGACAAGTTGGATTGCTGCAACTACCGCGCGATCACACTGCTGAGCGCCGCCTACAAGGTACTCTCCCAAATTCTATGCCGCCGTCTGTCACCATATGCAAGAGAGTTCGTGGGGCAATACCAGGCGGGATTCATGGGTGCCCGCGCTACCACGGACCAAATTTTCGCGATTCGGCAGGTTCTGCAGAAATGCCGCGAATACAACGTGCCCACACATCATTTGTTCATCGATTTCAAATCCGCATACGACACAATCGATCGAGATCAGCTATGGCAGATTATGCACGAGTACGGATTTCCGGATAAACTGACGCGATTGGTCAAGGCGACGATGGATCGAGTGACGTGCGTTGTTCGAGTATCGGGGACACTCTCGAGTCCTTTTGAATCTCGAAGGGGGTTACGGCAGGGTGATGGACTTTCGTGTCTGCTGTTCAACATCGCGTTAGAAGGTGTGATCAGAAGAGCTGGGATAGACACGAGTGGCACGATATTCAGGAAGTCCATCCAGCTCCTTGGTTTCGCCGATGACATTGACATCATAGCACGACACTTTGAGACGATGGCGGAAACGTACATCAGACTAAAGACTGAAACTAGTCGGTTTGGATTTGCCATCAACGCATCAAAGGCAAAATACATGCAAGGAAGAGGTTCTAGGGAAGACAATGTTAGCCTCCCACCCCGAGTTCAGATTGACGGTGACGAAATCGAGGTGGTCGATGAGTTCGTGTATTTGGGCTCACTGGTGACCGCCGAAAATGATACCAGCAGAGAAATTCAAAGACGCATTATGGCAGGGAATCGTGCCTACTTTGGACTCCGGAGGACGCTCCGGTCGAATAAAATTCGCCGCCGCACGAAGTTGACTGTCTACAAGACGCTGATTAGACCGGTGGTCCTTTACGGCCACGAGACCTGGACTATGCTCGTGGAGGACCAACGCGCCCTTGGTGTTTTCGAACGGAAGGTGTTGCGTACCATCTACGGTGGAGTGCAGATGGATGACGGAACGTGGAGGAGGCGAATGAACCACGAATTGCACCAGCTGCTGGGAGAACCATCCATCGTCCACATTGCAAAAATTGGGCGACTACGGTGGGCTGGGCACGTCGTAAGAATGCCGCACGACGACCCAGTGAAAATGGTTCTAGAAAGCGACCCAACAGGAACAAGAAGAAGAGGCGCGCAGCGGGCAAGGTGGATCGACCAAGTAGAAGGTGACCTGCGGACCCTTCGCAGACTACGAGGCTGGCGAACTGTGGCCATGGATCGAGTAGAGTGGAGACGACTTCTTCGGACAGCAGAGGACAACAAGGCCTTAGCCTGATTGGTAAGGTAAGTAAGTTGGACTGAGAAAGAGTGTGAACTTGTGTATATGCAATTAAATTAAAATAAAATATATAATTTGATTTTTCCCGGTTTTGTTTCGAAATTCCCGGTTTTTTCCCGGTCCATTTCAAATTCCCGGCTTTTTCCGGTTTTCCCGGTTCTGTGGCCACCCTGAACTAAGTTCTTTAAAGATCAAGTAACTTTGTAGAAGGAATTCTGAGAACTTTGAAAAAGTCATGCGAATTACGTTGCAATTCGAGGAACTTCGCAAAACCTAATGGAAGTGCTAGGATTCTTCGTAAAAGTTCATCCAAAATTGTGGAAGATCAGTGGAATTCATAGAAGTTTTTGGAATTTCATAGTAGCTCAGCATACTTCTTATAACTTCAGGGTTTGGTTTGGGAACTTTGATTGTTTAGCAAAAATCGTAGAAAATATTCAAGACCTTTCCTGATTTTGGTCGAATTGAGAGATCTTGGGAAAAAAAACTGCAAGCCCTATGGGGTTGTACGCAATGGTGGCTACGTGGACTACGTGGTCTTATATAATAAATGTTATTTATTAACTGCAGCAGAAGCTTGTTTTTTTTTGTGTAGGAATAGGAATTTGAGCGGAGTTCTCTCTGTTAATACTCTTTAGTATTACTATGATTGCCCTGAAAAGAACCTTTTGATATGAATTTTAGTTGGGCAGTTGGGGGCAGCTTTGATAGTTAGCTGCTTGACGGGGAGCCTTTCGTTGTGTACTGGAGAACACCACCCCTCACTTCGCGGTGATTGAATAAACATCGTTCGATGAGACCCAATGAAATTCAACTTTGAAATCTGTGTTAGGAAAATCGCTTTTCGCAGGCAATCGGTGATAATTTTAATTATCACAGCAACAGTTGCACATTCGTCCAATTTTCAATAGTGAAATTTAGAAAAATTATTAAGTCCTAATTTCAACAGATGCGTAGAAATGGGGTCTTATTACGGGTGTCACTACACGGTGATAAGGAAGTGATACTCATAATAAGAGCCGTGGTTGCAGTACAAATCAAATGGGAATCACTTCACCGTGACGACAAGTGACAAGTTTTCACCGTGAAGTGACATGCGTAATAAGCCCCATGATAAAATTATTGAAATTGGTCCAGGGGCAGCTGGGTTATTAACGTTCAAAATATTTCATAATTTCGTTACATGTTCTATTTTTGGTTTTCACAAAGTGTACTACCCCCATATAGAAATCACAGACGTCAAAATATGCAACTGGAAGAAGTTGAAAAATATTTCAAGAAGTTAAAATAAGGGAGCTTTGTAGATGTCTATTTTCCAAGGTCTCATGAATTTTTTTGGTGGCACCTGTTGAGGACGGTGATGATAATCGAGAATTCATGACCATAAGTCACACACCCGTTCCAAGTTTGAGCCAGTTTCCAGATTGAGACAAAACCCGTATATAGTTGTACACCGAGATAATTTTCCGCCATTGTATTCCTACCTTGCTTTCAGGTTAAATTCGATTGTCGCTTTCCGTCCAACGATGCGGACCCGGTCGAGGCGAAGCATTCCAACGAGGTAAAACCAATTTGCACAGGTAAGCATTCCAAGGATAAATATTCGGTTCAATTAATGTGAAACGATCCGATTGGATGCTGGTCGTTGATTCGGGCATCTCGTTAATAATTTCGAAGCATTTTGTTCATGAATTGAGTAACTCTAGAAAGCCGGCCCCGAATTTTAAACTAGCCTTCCCATGGATAAGTATGGTGAAGTGAGATTAACTATCATCGTCGTGGTGTATGGTGAAAGTTGTGTGACCCATATAATAGCAACGTACCAACTCGTGCAAACACACATCCGCACAAAGGATCGAGTGACTGGCCACAAACACCCGCAAGGAGGCATCTGAATCCGCATTGGAATGTCGACATTCAGTTTAACCCATTTCCGTATGCATCCATATCGTGGAGAGCAGTTTGTTGTATTCTTGGCGATGGATATATCCTATCTCTATCGCAGTAGTCAGTATCAGTATACAAACTTGTCAAACAACAAACCCACTGCACGAAAAAAGCTAACCCGAACCAGAATGGCTTCCGGTTGCAGGCGCTCACTAGAAGGCAACAAACCAGGATCACCAACCAACAGGAGGCAACTTTTAGCAGTAGGGATTCAAAAAAAAAAAAAAAATGAAATTGTCGGGTGCAGCGTTTCACAAAGTTTAAAGGTTCAGTTTCGAATCAAAACTGAAATCCAGCCCTGAGGCGAATTAGTGATCAAAATGAATCCTTCGTAGGTACTGATACTGCAATGGTATCATTAAAGGAAGCCTCGGTCTCTGTGTCAAACGAGATGAAAAGATGTCAAACAACTCTTTTGAGTATCCCATGCACGCTTCCGAAATCGCATGGAAAGTGAATGGGCTCCGCACGGAAGCACAAGGATGATGATGATGGTGTCGACGTTGGAACCGCATCCGCCGCACCGAGCACCGGGCTATGAATTATTTCAATCTTATAACGCCGACGGCCATTTAATTGATATTTATGTTGATAAAAAGATGAGGACTTTCGTGAGCTGACGGCGGTGGCTGCGAAGGATTCGTTCTTTTCTTGCGTTGTTGCTTTCTGTTGGTGTTCAAGTGTTCATGTTGGTTTTAAAGAGGAACAACTACGAAGAGATGACACGGAAGATTGCACAGCACAAGGAACGCCGCTCATCAGGACGATGCTTGTGGCTATTTTTGCTTCTTTTGAGTAATGAAAAGTGAAAATTATTTGCACAAGTGCAATGATGAAGAGAAATCGTGAATAAAGTTGAGACTAGTTCAAGTATAGCTGATAGAGTAGGATCATCATCATCGTTGAGATTCCTTTTCAGCTCGATGGATGCCTCCAACCCGATTAGAAACAAGTGCAGTTTGCAGTTTGTCAGACCAATGGATCCAATTCATCTCATCAATGACATAAGTTAAGACAGTTCTGGTAAACCAAATAATTGATCAATTGTTCTGATTCAGTACCAGTATCAATTCTTATCGACTTCATACCCACATAACTTTCTCTCATCTCTCTCTCTTCGGTACTGCACTTAAATGACAAACAAACTACCCCTGCCATACATTGGCAACGACCAGAATAGAACCATCGGATCGTTTCAGCTTTTACCAATTAAAACTTTCGATTAGAATCCCATGCACTATCCCCAGCCATACAATCAAATAACATACAATTGACACGCACACACACATTTTCGATCTGCATTCTGCCCATCGGATCCAAACAACGTCCACAACCAATCCAGGGAAGGAGAAACTATCGGACCGGTACAAGCAGGAGCCCAAAATGAGCTTCGTAATCAAGGCAATCTACACGATGGCATATGCTCTGCAGGCCTTGCAGCAGGACTCGTGCGGCCGGAGCGTCACTGGCATCTGTCCGGCCATGTTTCCCTTCAACGGAACGCAGTTTTTCGTAAGAGCCCCCCCGCCCCCAAAGTAACATCGTCCGGCAACTATTTCCTTTCATATAAATTTTTCTTTCTATTTTCACTGTTCTGTAGAACTACCTCATGAATGTATCCTTCTCGCACGACGGCGACCTCGTGGAGTTTGACAATAGGGGCGACCCACCCGGACGGTAAGGTTATAGATTTTTATTATGGTTGATGGCTTGTGGCTTTGTTTCGTGTTTCTATGGGGGCGATAAAGTTTTCTATAAAATGCAATTTCAAGGAAGGTAAGAACAATACCATTTACCTCCAGGAACGCTGACGGTTGTGGCACGTGGTAGAAAAATTCAAATTTCTGTTTTTTATGCAATTTTTTGATTCGTTGAAGCATAACTGCATGCGTGGGAGAAAGTTGAACGGTGTCTAGAGATGGACTACGGATTTTACGAAAATTCAAAAAGAAATGACACAGCTACTCCCGGGGAATTTCAGGCAATTTTAGGAAGTGTCATCTTGAATTCTAGAGGTAATTGATGAGAAATTCCTGAAGAATGCCAAGGAAATCCCATTAAATTTGTTATGGTGGATGCCAGTTCCATGGGAACTCCATGCACAACTCCAGAAAAATTACGTGAGTAATTCTAGGATATTTCCAGTTTGGTTTACGCCAGGATCCAAAATCCTTAAATAGCAATCCGTCAGTTCCGCCCAATGTGGTCTATGACGGCAGGGAGTACAAGAGCGATGCAGAAGCGTGCGATTTCATCGCGACGCTTTTTGCATCCGTCTTTCAATCAGAGTCATCGTTCAACGCCGAGGCCGAACTGGCTGCGTCAAACATGATCTGGATACGTTATATGGATAAATCCATTCCTCCGGTTCTATAATCTGGCTAACCTAGAATCGTAGGAACCTCCGGATATCTCTGACACGTTGGCAACGGGATAGCTTGTGTATCGTGGTTTCTAGTTCTCCCGCACATGATTCACAATAGGGGTTATCTACTACACCTCGTTGAAACAGCAACTCTTTATGTCTTATCTTTTTGTACATCAGTACAAACCAATTTAAGCGCTGCGATGATGTTAGAACTTTGTTGTGGTGATATTTGAAAACAGTTTTCCAGCCGCGTTGTACAGCCGATACTGTGAGCACTGTACTTTAGACGGGAATAACTCAACACGCTGGAGTCTTACGGATGGCGCAGGGCGGACAACAGCATGTCTTACCTCGAGGTCGGTCAGCAATCGAAAGAGGACGATGCAATGGATATTGCTGGCTTCTGGGTCTCGATGACATGTTGCCAGTATTAATGCAATACGTTATTGAGGAGTGTTGCCAACATCCTAATTGAGCTACTCTTGTGACGAGGGGTAAATTGAGCCCACTCACATCTTCCTACTTCCCCATTAAAAAATAAAATGAAAAATATATAATTAAAATATATATATAATGGAAATGGCAGTAGTTGTAGGTTAGTTGTAGTTGTAAATAGTAGTTATAAGTAGCCTCCTTTTTCAAATTTTAAAACAAACCAATCCCACCAAGGTGGTCATTTAATGGAAATGGCTCCAATGTTGGCCTATCGATCTAAGATTGGGCCCATCGCTAAAAATCTACTGTTTATCAATTTTATCTAGATGAACGCGTCATTGGGACGGTACTAATGGATATTTTTGGTCGCTAATGAAAATTTAGTCGATTGCTGAATTTATGTATGGGCCCAAATCAGAAGCATTTAGGCTGACATTACATCCATTTCCCCTTTGTATATTTTTACCGACAAAACAATGCTTTTCCCACATTTGAGTTCTTTAAACTTTTCAGATACGTTGTTTTATTTAAGCGTGTAGACTGAACCCTGATGTTCAAACTCTCGTGCAAGAATCAAATGTCATTCAGCTATTCAGCACCAATGAGCTGGATTACCGAGGTGAAGCAATCGTTTAAGTTGTGTGAGTAAAACCCCTGTACGATACAAGCAATAAGTGACGTCACTACTTGCTTATGTGCGGTATACAGTCATGAGCTTAAGAAAGTGTGAAATGAGCTGTATCGTCACTACTTGCTTGTGCGGTATACAGTCATGAGCTTAAGAAAGTGTGAAATGAGCTGTATTAATGCTTCGGTAGAAATGTATACGGAACTAAAGTCGACGTACACTCTAAGTCGACAAAAACAAAGTAGTCTATGCTTCGTATATTTGACAACCCAGGACTCCTGGCCTTACATTCCCAGGAGCTCCAATAGGTAAGTAATAATTTAGCTGCAAGCTACAGCGTTGGGGGATTCCACTTTGAACCAGGTGGAAATTTGCCAGCAGGGGATAAGTATGCAATTCCGGCAAAACCAAGTAAGGAGGAAAGTTATGAAGGAACAACAAGCAAATGCAAAGAGAAGGTAGTAATCAAACGTTGACAACCGGTATCTAGATCTTAGATACGCATTTGCATGCTGCTGGAAATTATTTGATGGACGATGAGGATGAACGGATTAAAAGTAAATAGTTGAGAGCCATAAATCCCTAACTCTTTCACATTTTTCTACATTTTGATTTCCTAATGCAATTGCAATGTTTGATGTTATTCTTTTCCCGCTAAATGATATTAAGTTGCATTTTTTACATTCAGTTCTAATAAGCTTTTTTACACCAAATGTACACAGTTCGAAAAAGATTCATCATTTGTGTTCATTTTTAGTAAACAGGGCCCCGCTGTTGTGTCACTTTTTGTCGAGTGAGTGAACTCAAATCCATCCGTGCACTCGTCTATATGTGTACTTCATTCTTGAATATACTGATGTCTTCCTCATTTCTTATTTCCAATGTCATTGGCAATTGTCAGATTAGCAATTAGCATGTCGTCGGCATAGATTGGCAATTTTAGTTTTTTTTTGAGAATGAAAGAAATGTCGTTTACATATAGAAAAAAAAAGAAGAGGTCCCCTTGCGGGACGCCTGAAGTGACTTGAACTGGGCTCTATTTCTTTCCGTTGAATTTAATTATTTGTTGGCGGAGATGGATAATAACTAGGTAGGTCATGATCTTTCATACACATTTCCTGACAGTTGGTGAAAGGTCATTTGGATTCAGGCTGCTACACGGGTAAGTTGTTCAGCTCCGCCTCACTCACGGAACCGCTGCTCGTCTGTAGCGCCATGCTGCTGCTGCATTCGTGCACCGATTTCTCGCAACTTTCGGCGTCGGTCATTTTTTTTCTTTACTGGTACAATGGATCTGATAATCCAGCTGCTGACATGGAAAGTTGTTCAGCTCCAGGTTCATTGAGAACTTTGAGATAGCGGCGTCTCTGGGAAACGCTGCAAATCCCGTACAACGTTCAAAGCTACTGTTCCTTTGTTTGGGACAGGAACTCCAAGGCATAGTAAGGGCAGCCCAACTACGATAAAGCCTAGCGGAACCCGATTGTTACACAGTTTTTGTGAAAAACGTGCGGAACTACCTACAATCCATGACGGACACAGCAGCCGAACATGAGGCGTTTGCTGGTATGATGCAAGGGACTGGAGAATCTGCTGTGGCGTTCCATGCCAGGCTCCAGGAGAAGGTCAGGCTATGCGGCTACAGCCCCTCTGATCAAGAGCGTTTCGTCAGGGCTCAATTGTTGAAAGGGCTTAGGAACAGGGAGCTCACAAAAACGGCCAGGATCTACAGCTACCAGACGAACTTCATAATGCAATACGTTATTGAGGAGAGTTGCCAACATCCTAATTGAGCTACTCTTGTGACGAGAGGTAAATTGAGCCCACTCACAGATACCAATTCAGGTTCCGGTTTCAGCGTCAGAAAGTGAAGATATAATCCTTAGGATGATGGAGGTGTTGATCAATTGATCCGGTAAGTAAGTGAGACAGTTCCTCCTTCAGTATAGTTACGTGGTTGAAAATGGCTGGTATTGTAGTGTTTGGATTCTCCAGGAATCTGCTCAACAGTGGGAGTTGCTGTGCAAAGTTCATCAGCTGATTAACAAGCAGAGCTTTCGCTTTTGTTTCTGGACAATGTAGGTTTATACCTGTTTACAAAAGAACGTGGTGTGATGTTGCTACTCTAGCATGTACTGTTTATTGACGATAGTGATAGGGTGGTTGATAAAATACTTAAACTAACAGCGTGGTTCAAATACAACATCTTCCTTTTTCTAAAAGCTAGTAGCTGTCAAGAAATTTAACGAGAAATATTATCTGAGGTTGAGTTGTATAATCTGAAAATCTAGCAGGTTTTCTGATCTCTCTCCTCGGTCGAGTCTCCGATGTTGTTGGCAGCGAGGTTGGCAGTTCCTTCTGTTCTTCGATGCTTTGATGTCGCCCGGATTCTGATATTGTCTGCGATGCTTCTGAGGATGTTGTTTCGACAGCCTTGTCACTAGTTTGCTCATTCTTGGTATAGTCGCGTCTCTCGAACATCAATTGTTTTTGAGTTTCGATTGGAATTCTCTGGTGTTGATCATAACTTTTTTGAATTCCGATTGGTTCCTTCACGGGCTCCTCGCTTTGCATAAATTCAGACTTGTGGTATCTCTCAGGTGTTAACATGTACTGCACTCCGTCTGTATACTCCGCCGTCTTCTGTCTGTACTTCGCAAGACCGTTCCGCACCAACGTAGCTTGTTCCCACTGCTTGTTCAAATCAGGCCTTCGCTGAATGATAACGTTTTCACCAACCTGCAAATCTGGGAGATCTTTTGCACTTTTGTCGTAGCTTGCCTTGACCACTTTTCTCTTGTGTACAATCCGATCCTTGATAAGCGACGCTTGCGGTGGTTGCAACTTGTTTGTGATGACAGATACTGCACTACGTGTGTTTCTGGAATAAAATCGCTGGTTGGGGCTTGTACCGATTACGTTCGGTGTGTTGCGATGCTGCTGTAACGCTTGCCAAAAATCGGATCCGCTTTTAGTGCACTTTTCAAACAGCTGCTTCATGCATTTCACTGCTGATTCAGCTTTGCCGTTCCCTTGAGCATGGTATGAAACTCCACTCCTTAGAAAACCTTGTCCATTCCTCGTTGTCAAACTGGGGTCCATTGTCAGTGACCACGACTTGCGGCGTCCCATGTATGGCGAAGTGACGCTTGCACGTCGTGACGATGGTCTTTGTCTTCGTGTCGTTGAGAAAATTCACTTCAACGAAGTCCGAAAAACTGTCTGCCATAACCATCATGACAATTT